TTTAATAGACTAGAAACCAATTTCGAAAAAAAATTCAAAGGGCTGTAACTTTTGAACTAGTAGCCCAATCTTGGAACTGTTTGAAATTATGGATTCTACAGGCCACATTCTATTAGAAATTTTTTTTTCCGGGTCGATCTGAGACAATTTTTATTTCGGGCCTCAAAAAAAGGCAGTGTATAACCTTTCTTTTTTACCAAAAATCGACTACACCAAAATTTCTCGGGAAAACACTTTTTCTTATTAAGTTTGGGGCGTAGAATCTAAAACAATTCGTATTTTTTCGATTAGACTTCTCAATCAAAAGTTATAGACTAGAAACTAGTGATTTTAAATTACACGTTATTACGTGTAAAATTACCAATTGTTTATGTTTTTTATGTATTATATATGTAATTTATGTAACTTACCATTTTTTTTTAAAAACTGTAATTTTACAGTAAAATTACCAGTAATTTATGTTTTTTATGTAATTTTCAAATATTTTTGTAAAATTACCTGTCATTTATGTTTTTTTTCAATATTGTATAAACTTTTTTGAATTTTGTGAGTGTTTGAAAATAAAAACACTTGTTAAATTATATATTTTGGTGTATTAAATAAAATACCCAAGCAGTAGGTATTTCGCCATCGTCGTTTGGAGGAAGAAGCTCCAGATCGCGAATTAGAGGCTGTATCATCTTCATTAAACCAAACTAAATTCAACGGTGAATCGTTTACGTTGGTAGTACCGTTGAGATGGTCTGTGGTAGTACCGATCAAAATGTACCTACAAATAGGTATTACATTTATGTAACTTACAAAAATTACGGCTTTTTAAATTAAAAACGTAAGTTTCATAAAAGACATTAAAAATTACATTAAAAAACCGGCCTCTTGTAAGTTACGAGTAATATAACCGTTTTTTATGTAACTTACAAATCGTTATTTTACAATCCACATCACTACTGACAACACACGACATACTTATGGATTTCATAAATTTTGTAAATATTGAATAACGAATTTATCTCTATTTTTTTTTGTCATACAGCAAAATGATTGCTCTTTTGAAATATCGTAAAACATATAGGCAGTGCATTTGAAAAACAAAAGTTGCATCGACTTCCGGTGTAACCGGAAGTGCTACCGGAAGTTTGAATATGCGGTCAGATATATCGTAATGTCACAATAGGTATTATATTATATAATATTTCGTATCTCAACAAATAAAAGAGATATTTAGGTGACCCACCTATCTCGAACGCACTGTATATATTTTATAAGCGAGTTTGGTGGCGTGATGCATTGAGGCGAGTAGCTACTGATTATTATTATAGGCGTGAAAAGCTATTATAGGAACGAAGTTAACCAAAATAAAAATTCTCGTAAAAGTCTATGGAAAGTCGTTCAATTAACTTAACTTTTATTGTTTCCTGTTGACAATATAATATTGTATTATGACATGTCACAAAATGAAGAAAAAAAAAAGAACAGGGGAAAGAAAACATTGACATAACTTAACATAAAGATAAGATAAGATAAAGATCAATTAGTAATAGTAGTAATAGACGAAGTGAAGAAGACAGGTCCGTTATTACTAAATCAAACAGTGGCAGGGTTTGAAAAATTGCTGGAGAGCGACTATTACAGAAATGAAAAGGGTATCAAACCACTTTGCGATTATTTCGAAAATGTGTGGATAACGACCAGGAAGGATTAGGTATCTTTATTTGCGCATTCATTATAGAATTGCAAAAAGATCTGCCGATAACAAATAATGCAGTTGAAGAATGGCACCGGCATTTTGGATATTGGTAGCTGCGCAACATCCTACTATAAGGAAGTTTTTTAGATAGCCTTCGCAAAGAGCAGCATATGAACAACATAGCGATAGAGCACTATATTCAGGGAGGAAATCCATCGTCCCAGAAAAAGATTTATTGAGATGTTAATACTCGCGTTTAAAATGCCTGACGCTGCTGATAAAATTGCATATTGCATAGAACCTTCATTTAAATTTAACTTTATTCGGGTCTCTGATGTATCAGAAACGTTAAACTTAACGTGCAGTTTTTCTGTCCAAAAACGATATTTTGCGTTATTTAGTATAGGCAAAGTAACTTTTTCTACGTTAAGTTTAACGTTAGTGATAGTACATCACAGGGCTGATTATATGTAGGTATGTTTTCTAGCATAAATCCAATAAAACTTAATTTTGTGCAGTACTTGATCGTATGGTTTATTAATTATTTTTATCGGTGTTCAAAAAATGTTTGACGGGCGGAATTAAGTAGTGAAGAAGGGCAATTAAGCAGCGGACATTTAACTACGAGGACATTTGACCCGCGATCAAATGACCCGCAGCCATTTGACGGCGTGATTTTAACCGTGAACCGTGGGTTAAAATTTTAAATGCACATATCTCTCGAGTGCGAGAAGATGGTTACAATCTCACTATTCTGTACCTCTAGGTGCACTTAAAATTAGCACTGTAGGTACATGGAGGCAGGAGGTGTAACCGGAAGTTGATCCACACTTCGGAATTTTCAATCTACATACATTAACTAAATCTGATATAAATCGCATTAGGCTTGGACCGATAGGTTTATGAATTGTTTGAGTTTCCTGGGGCCTGTAACACAAACCGTACAAGTCCTACAATTGTTAGAATATATTTTTCACTTGTAGCTTTTTCATAACACAACTCATTTGGATATATAGAATTAAGTAGGACGTGTAGTAATCTACAGGCAGATTACTTGTAACTTGTAGACTTGTTACAATTGCATAGTTTGTGTTACACGCCCCAGGTGTCCATTAATAAAAGAAACTGTAGTGGAAATCAAGCTCGGGGTTACGGACAGACGGTGATATTTCACTCATACTCATACAAAAGCAGAAGAGTCGATTTGTTAAAATTAGGAAGGTCAATTGGCCAAATTTAACATTTAAATTTACATATCGCCCTTATTTTTGGCAACAAAAGTTTGCGGCTTTATTTCTATTTTCTACTCGGGCACTACATTAATTAATTAAATAAGAAGGTTTCATTGTAACTGTGAAAAAATTACCTTTGGTATGGTACCTGACTGGGGTCAATACACCCCATATGATTTTCGTTGGGTTTTGTACTGTATTGGATAACATTTGTTGGAACTTACTTTGGTCTCATTGCTCACGCAACGGTTTTGTTTTACCCAACTTTCCATAAATATTGCTTTAAGTTCTTTTATACTTACGACTTGTCATCTACAGTGTGTTCGAGATAAGAGTCACCTCAATATCTCTTTATTTGCTCGGGGCGATTCGAAAAAATGGTCAAAAATAATTTTGTATGCGATATCACGACCTATCCGATTGCACATTGAAACTTCTGGCATAGGTACCTTCCTGTTAAACCGGAAGTCGATGCAACTTTTGTTTCCCTATGGTTCTTTTTTAAAGATCTTTGCAAATGTGTAGTACGACAACATCAAATACGCATACGATTGAAAAACAAAAACAAACAGAGAAATTCGTGATATTTAGAACACTTGAAAAATAGAAATTTTAATATGTGATCGGAGAGATCATAAGGTCACATACAAAATTATATTTTGCAAATACCTCGAACGCACCATATATGGTAAACAAAATAGTTATTTATGTATCCAGGGCATTAAGGCGATATTTATGCCGAGGGCGACAGAGCCCGAGGGCCTCTGGCCCGAGGGATTGTAAGTCGCCCGAGGGTTAAATATCGAGTAATGCCTGAGGTGCACACAACATTTTATTTTTCATCGTTCCAAATAATGCATTTCCAATATACAAATGTAATGATTATTGTTATTGCTTCTACGAATCAAGTAGCATCTTTTTTATTACATAACTCCGTCAATATATTTGACAGGCAGTTTGAGGGCATAATGAGAGGGCATAATGGATTGTCATCTCATTATGCCCTCTCATTATGCCCTCGGGCGTCATAGACTGCTTTATATATCTCATATGACAGATATAATTGACATATAATAGGCAAATGAAAAATAAAATAAATTTTAAGAGATGACAAACATGTAAGTAACGATAATAATTAAAGAGCTTCAATACGTATAATGTAGTACACCATCTAAAAACACCATCGGAAACACAAAGTTCAGTTGAAATACATACAGGACGAATTGACTCCTCGGGGGTCTGTAGGGGGGTATCAAACATTGGGTCTTCTTATGTTAAGCTATGCTTAGTGGAACAGAGTTATATTTTGATAGTCGCCAATTCTCATATAAAATGAGAGATGCGGTAGCAATTCTAAATCGGCTAAATAAGCCAATTAGACCGATATTATTATTCTTTTTCCCACCCGCTTCAATTATGCGACAATAATAACATCAATTTTATTACTCAAAATTTATTTTAATGGCGCTTCATTTGAAAGCAAATTTTCGACCGAATGATGCTTTACAATTTATAATTGGACTATTTTCCATAATTGAAATTGCCGTTAGCTGTGTGAGATTAAACGTGGGTGATTTTGGAATAAATGTAAAATTAAAATGATATCACGGTAAATTCGTTGCTTGACGTATTTGGTCAAATTTTGACAAATATTTATATGTGTTTCATTTACTGTTGACGTTTAATTTGTGATTGATGCACAGTCGTTTGTAGGTCTTTTGGAGTTTTCCTCGCTTCCCTTGTAATTCGCTTATTTCATCATGCTAACTTCGTGATGTGTGTGTTTAGGTACATACAATCGACCACTCACCTGCTCGCACTTGTACGTCTCTGCTGATAATCCTTCCGACACCATTTGAGGCGACGCATCGATAAACCGTGCTGTGAATATCCTGTCTGTAAGCGGCAGCTGCAAATGGAAGCAATACCAAAGTGCCGTTCCTAAGTACCCTCCGTATTCCCGAAACGTCACCAACAGATGTCCCGTCAACTGAAAGCCAGTCGATGGAAGGTTGAGGACTACCCGAAGCCGAACAGTCCAACCATCCACCGCTCGAGTTGGAGAACTCGAGTCGTGTTGGTGGTTCCATGACAAACGTTGGTCCTCTCAGATGTAAATCAAATCCGGTGGACAATTCTGAAAGGAAAACGAAATATTCAGCATTAGCCACTTCTCATCGTGCCATTAAAATTCAGCCTTCGCCGTTTAAAGTATTTTAGGAAACCCAGTCTGCATTTTAATGGCACGTTTTCCCTACGCACGACCAATTCGCCGCAAAGGTTTATGAATGACTCCCCCTATTTGTCAATGATAAATTTGAGACGCGTGGCGGAATGTACGATTTCAAATTTTGAGAATAGACAAAGGAAATTCGTTTTGCACCGAGAACAGTCTCCGATTCGCCTCCGCCTTTCGTATGTTTCAATGGAACTAATCGATCGTGTTCGAAACGTAAAGTTGAAATTTCTAATTGAACATTCTTAAATCAAAATAATCCCCTTTGTCAAACAAGGGAGTAACACCGTTTTAGCAGATTACAAAAGCCACTGCTGCCGTTAGTTATGAACTTGCATCTTTCAGTCTGGATTTGAATTTTTTAGCATAAACCTTTTCAAAGCGAGCTCACTCCTTTGAGCCACCCCTTTTTACAAAATAATGACGACTTGGTTCTGATTCACATTACGAGTGAATAACTTTCCCGGATTAATTCTCGCGAACGAAACGGAAACGAATAATTGCGACGGGAATCTATTGTTCCTGGATGCTACACAAAAAAAAACCTAGCGGAAACGTGAGATGTTGAATCAATTTTTCTAAAAGCTGCTGCTGCCACGTATTTTACTAAACCTTCTTTTAGATAAAATTTGTCATTAACGAATGGTTGACACAAAAATATGTTTATTAAATATTAAATATAGCAGACGAGCTTTTCCCTCTTCACATTCAGCGTAATAATTCACGTGAGACTAGAATTTCCAATGAGAATTTCCAACAATGCTCGGAATGCTTCACAATGTTGTTTCGTGCTATTCAACTAGAGATAGCGTGGCTCCTATTAATTAAAAATACACGATGTTTTAAGAAACATCCTTTACTTACACTTCGATAAGTTCTAGTACTTTATAAGCAAAATGCATGCAACTTAATGTGAAACAATGTAATGTCACCTATTGTCGTCTCGTACTGAGAGCCCGAAGAGGTCTCCTGCAACTTTATTTTAATGAACCACACTTGAGCGACGAAAACAAATTTCCCGATCTCCCTTATCTCGGTGAAATTGAAATTTCATTTCAGCGCTACTTTTCAATTAGGTACTTCACAAATCTTAAACTAGCATCTTGCCACTTCAAATTACGTCGGTGAAATAATTGTACCTTTTCGATACAAGCGTAAAACTAAAAAAAGTCACACTTGAATTGGACAGCAATGAATTGACGAAAGAAATTAATTGTAGAGCGAAACCATAAGTCGTCAAACACTCTTAATTGAACAAAATGCTCGAAAAAATTATTAATAACATACGTTATGCGGATGCCATTTCATTAATGGCAGATAATTTGTTGGACATACAATACCATGAAAACATAAATGGCCATAACTTTGAATTTGCAAGGCTTTATAAAATATTGCGCAACGTTTATAAAATAAGTTAACAGTTGAGGACCGTATTTAGGGGTAGGTAGCTTTGTTCATTTGTTAGAGATGTAATACACGAAATGTTTTCTCATGTACGTGGACGTTTCATTGCGAATGTGGCTTTAATAACGTTTATAGGAAGTGTGAGTTATAGTAAAATTCTTTTAGTTTAATTAATTTGAGTTAGGGGACGTTTGAAGGTTAATACAGGGTAAGTAACTTTTCACATGTACTTTATATTTTAACCATTCGCAAGAAGGTGGCTTTAGAATTCAAAATAATACAATTTTTGTTATCAGGCGTTTTGTTTGCTTTATGTGGGGGCGCAATATTGATTGGATTAGTTTGCAATGATATTTTTCCGCCATCTTATTTTACATAAATGCCAAATGTGAAATTGTTCATGAATTCCTGGGTCAACCTGTCAGTTATCCACGTCCTATATTCAGTTTGGGTCTGTTTTTTATGGTTTATGGTAATGCGTTTTACTATTTCAGCTCGTGTATTTTGTGTTTGTAGTAATTGTTATTAGTAACTATTACTACGTAAACCATACGGTAATTTGTAAATAATGGTATCAAGAAGCAAACAACAGGTTAATCAAGTAAACGAAACCCACTACTACGTTGGTTTTGCCAGCGGAAACCACTCTCATTGGCAGACGCCTTTAAAGTCGATACGTTTATAGCCTAAGCGTGCATAAATATCGATTTTGACATCTTTTGGATAAAAATATTTTTGTCATTCATATAGGGCATCGAGAAATCGAGTTTGGTGTTTTTCTCAACAAAATTGGTGTCCAAATAACGATTTTGACGTCTTTTCAGTAAAAATATTTTTGTCTTTAAAAATACACATTACACATGGATCACTTCTTGGGCATGGAGTAATCGAGGTTAGTATTTCCCAAGCAAATGGATGCATAAGTAACGGTTTTGATAACTTTAGAATAAAAATCTTTTGGTCGCCAAAAATCACTTCTTGGCCATCAAGGAATAGAGTTGAGTCATTTGGCAAACAAAATGAATGCCTAAATATTGACTTTGACGGATTTTTGGTAACAACGTGAGGGATGCCAAAGTAAATTTTTGATAACAAAAACCCGAAGTCTATATAAGAGGTATAAGGTATAAGAGGTCTGTTTTTTTTACTTATTTAACGTAGATGAATGCATAAACATTAAATTGAAATGAACAGAGGAGAGGCTAAGTGCGGATAGATCTGGTCACCCCAACGATGATATTCATTTGCACTTCTAAAGGAGGGGCTCAAAAATAGTGTTACCCATAAGTGAAAGTGCTTAAAACTCCCAATTCATGGGTAAAAATCAATTTAAAACTAACAACAAAACACAGACCGACGGATAGAAAGTCCAAAATGCCCAAAATTTAGTCAGTTAGTCCCTTAACCATTGTCTATCTATTACGGAAAACAGAATTAAAAAATTCGAAACCATTCGCGAGTCATGACTCATGATGTATACACAAATGGACGAATGGACGCACAGAAAGTCCAAAATCCTGAACGATCTACGTCGCTCGTAAGTAAAAGTAAAGTAAAAGAAAAAGAAGCGTATCTGAATGGACATGGCCGCCCCAACGATTATATCTGAGTGGCGTTCACAAATTAGTTAAATATAGTTCGTAAATCCAGTACACAGTTTAATTTACGAAAGGTAATTTTAATTCGTGGGGGGGGGGGGCTAAATTCAAGTATTTTTGGCCACCAAATTTTGCATTCCCAGCGATTTGAACGGGCTCTAAAATTGAGACCCTTGTGATATCAAAGCTCCTAAAGCTCATAACATGACGAATTTTGCTGCTTTTGTTGAAAAACGGTGCTCACAAATTTTACCTGTAGCGTTGAATCTATGAAAACTAAGTAAATTTCAGGTCTAATACTGTCCGGGATTGAGAAGGATAACCTTATTTTGCAAGAATTTTGATGAAATTTTGAAAAATTCAAACATATAGTGATGATAGTTTTCACTACAAATGCGATTATTAAGTGAATGTGGATTCCTAAGGAATTAGGCCGAGTATATTCTTAATATCTCATTGGCGTTTTCCAGAAATGTTGATAGTGGGCTTTTGTAATACAACCAAATAGAACATACATGGGGCACTTGTCTATCAATGCTGTTGGATAAGCGGTGAATCACACTTTTAAACAGGGATAGACTAAGCAGTATTGCATAATTGTAGTTTTGGCCCAGTAGCTGCCGAAAATTTGTTAGTGACCTTAAATTTTGTACTGTTATAACCATGCGAATGTTAACAACCCTTCCGAAAATCATCCCTCATAAACTTACCACGCGTTTTTCATTTTCCCATTGCAAAGTACAGAGCAAGTACCTCGGCAAGTACGAGTACGTTACATTCCGATAATTCCAAAATTAACGCAACTAAGATTTTAATCAAATAGAAAACAAAACTAGGATAACAGAGGAGAACCTTACACACCAAACGCAAGAAACACACTGCGGTGACTATAACGTTATCATGGAACTTTGAACCCTGTTATAGAAAGTGAAAGGATTACATACCTATCGCGATTGTGTCGTAGACGCGAAATTATTAGTCACCACCTAATAGGTGGTCGAAAAATTATCTGGTTTTTAAGAAAATTCGCTTTTACATTCGTTTAACCTTCAATTGCTGGGGTTGAAATTTGTCTAAAACATCAAATCGTTTACAGTATACACCAGCCACCTCTTTGGTTGCATTTAAAAATACACTTCTCAAATTAAAATTACGTAATTTTCCAGAAAATTCGTTCTATATATACTCGGTTAACTTTCATCGCGGGGGGTTGTAACTTTTTTTGGTACTCCGTGTTTTGCCATTCATTTTAGGGACTAAAGTGTCACTTTTGGGAGAAAACGCGACGAGGGACAAAAAGTGACAGAACACACTGAAATGTCAAGGTGTTTTTCATAAATCTTTTTGAATTTGGGACGTAGTACTTTCCTCATAGCTTGTTCTGAATAGTTTTAAACGATCATTCCTGCGCCGTACTTTTGAACGAGAATCTTCACTCTTTAAATTAAACTAACATTTATTATTATAATGTCACAATTTGACATGACACAGTACGAGTATATTGATCGTACTATCAATCAAAAAATGTTTTCCTTCAAATTTGCACGTTAATATTGAAATTGCTGTAGCTGATTACAGGAGTACATAAAATAGCGTATATTCGGGTGCTTTTTTTTGCAATTTTCACCCTCGGGATTAAAACACACACTTTAGTCCCTCGGTATATCTATATAACATACTATATGACATTATATATTGCTGCTTTTGACATCGACGGGAATTAAAGGGTTCATCAGCAACCCTTTCATTGTCTTTAAACAATCCGATTTCGCCTCATTGTAAAATCATTACTGTGGCATCTGAAGTAGACCTTATAATTTAGTATAATTGAAGGTCATCTGCAAACAGTAAAATTTAGTTTAGAGAAAGACAATTAATAAAAATATTAAACAGTAACGA